GCTTAAAGTACGTGCTCGCAAAATCGCGTTTCATTCTCCAGTCAACATATAGATTAAAAAAAGGACAAACCCCTTACACGTGGTTTAGAAATGTAGTACTTTCAAAACTATTTCGATTGATGCCCATATTGTAAAAAGTACTTCATGGAAATTATTGAATAGTTTGAATTTAGTCTTCTGGACAGTTGGCAACCGTTTTAAACCTCTTTGGTCTCACACTGATATTGTGTTACATACATATGCATACATATTTCCTAATTCCAATAATTTAAGTTGAATTTGAATTTTCAAATCTGTGGAAACCCTGCTTAGTAATAAAGCCTCTTCAAGACATTCGATTAATACCTATATTTGAAGAACTTATAATATAATTGTATTTGAATCTAGTTTTAAAATAGGTAGTAACCCTCTTCAAATACCTCAGAAGAATCTTCATGTTCGAGCTGAGCATTTCTAAACGCTCTTACGTCTGACACTTTAATTTGAGTATAATTAATTTAAATTCGACTTTTAAAACAGGTGGCAACCCTCTCCAGAAACTTTTCCAATTATTAGACTGCATCACCAAAAAAAGTTGCGGTTTTTCCACCGGGATTACAAAATTTATTATATTTTAAGACGTCCACCAAAATATTAAGATTTAAGCGAGCTGGACCGATTTGAAAATACCTCCAAAAATATGAAGTTTTTTATGAATAAAAATAGTTTCTTAAAGAACTTTTTGAAAAAAGTCCCCTCAGATCACAAATTAGATTAAGTTTAAAAAATCTGCATAAAAATATTTAAAAATCTTTTCAGTGGAATCGTAAGAATGAGATTTTTGATGCTGTTTTTTTACTTGAAAAAAGTTAAAAAACAGCATCAAAAATCTCATCATTACGATTCCGTTCAAAATTTTTTTTAAATTTTTTTTTAATATTTTTATGCAAATATTTTAAGCTTAAACCGTTTCAGTAAGGATTAATTTATTTTGGTAAATATTATACTAAAAAAATATTTTAGTAGAATGGAACCAAAAATTCTTTCAGTACCCCGAATGGAGTTTTTCGAAGTCTGCAAATCAGTTCCAAAAGCTGCTCCAAAAATAGGTAAGGTTGTTATTTGAGTAAAAATTACCCATACTAAAAGAAAGTCGTTGTTTTAGAAATACAATTAGCGTAATTGTGTCAAAAATTGACAACAAAATGCACATTGCTGGATAGGTAAATTGAAAGCTTTGTTGTTGTTAGTTTTCTAGCAGCATTTGATTCCATTGCACATTTTAAAAATATAATAAAGGCTGCCTTAGAGAAATTATTGTTTTTGTAGAGCAGGATGAAGAAAATATTAATATAGATAAGCTGACCAACCGTCCTCCTTTGAGGAGGATTGTCCTCTTCAAACGTGATTTGCCCTCGTCAAAAATATTGTCCTTCACTGTCCTCCTTTTGAGCAAAAATGTCCTCCTTGTCCTCCTTTTCAAGTTTTATAGCAGTGATGAATTAATCAAACATTTTCGTTCAGAATATCTATACTAATTATATAAAGAGAAGTCCCCTTTTTTACAGGCAATCTCTCGAACGGCTGGTCCGATTGTCATGAAATTATGTATATACATAGCTTTCAGCAACCACCATGTCATAGACTAAAAAAAAATTTATCTCCTTATTCTAGAACCCGAATTTTCGTAATTCGTGTATCCGGTAGATATCCGGAATCCGGCTTATCCGGCCGTTTTTCTTTTATCCGGCCGGATACTAGCTAAAATCCAGCCGGATTTCCGGATTTCGATTATAGAAGATTCAATTTAAAAATTTAGTTGGCCATTTTAATATTTTTCATTATGAAAAGAAGCATTTCCGAATTATCGGGCAAAAATATATTTCTCTTTTCAACATAGATGCTACCCGATGCACTAACCACACTTTCTGAGTTCACTGCGGAAGGTGATGCGCAGAGATACTTATTGCCAGTATAAACAAACTTCGAAATTCTTTGCGATTATGCTTCCACCAAATTAAATTATCTTCTTGGTTGGGTATAAGGGGTAGCTGTAAATATTTCCCCAGTTTTAAATCGCTGACACTTTGCTTGTACGGTCGCTACATTGTCTACCCATTGTTTGACTATCCAAATCAAATATCTTATATCTCGCGAGCGGCTGTAGCCATTTTTTTAAGAACACTATATTCTGGGTGTATATGTTGCAATCACCACTTTGCATTTAGTTATAATAAATTTCCTATTTTTAAATGTATCGAAATTTGTAATTATTGTTATCGATATCAATCCATTAGCTTAGTACAAAAGGTTGTTCATCACTAATTACTTAACGAAAGGAGTGTAAAGCAAGAGAACAAAAAGAAAATAAATTTTAATCGCTGTTCGTCACTCAACGGAAGAGTTTTATTTTTACCGCGCTCTCAGACATACAGGCCAAAGTGGTGTCAGAAAAAGGGCAAATCGCGCTATTTGATATTAATAAAAAATAACGAAAAATGAATAGAAACCTGCTACGTACAGATAGCACAACCATATCTGGCAGCGATGGTGTTCCAGGAGGGGCAGGTCCGCCGGATTACAGCAGCAGCTGGAGCACCGGTGAAATGCAGAATCAGAACCAAGGTCAAACGGTCATTATACTGGATTCAGCAAATGGAGAGACGCATCAGCCGGCGCAGGCAGAGGGCAGTAAAGCTCCACCGGTAACGATGCACCAGCATAATACGACAGCACCGTATGGGCACCAACAAAGAGACCTAGCAGTCCCGTTTGCTGAACATCAGCAGACACAATTTTTTTCGCAACAACGAAATTCGGCAGCTTATACTGAAGTGCATGCCCGAATACCAATGCCTCGCTTAACACCAAATGATATGGATGCTTGGTTCACATCTGTGAACTATTGGTTTCAGGCCTGCAATACGAGCAGCGATACCCAGAGATATTACCACGTTATGGCAACACTGGATCCGCTTACTCTGCCCACTATCGGGCAGATTAGCAGGAATGCCGAAAATCAAAAACGCCAACTAGCACTGGCGTAGGCATGTACGATTTTTTAAAAAGTGAGCTACTCAAATATTTCGGGGAGAGCCATCAGCGTAAAATACATTGATTATTAGAAGAAATGGTCTTAAGTAATCAACGCCCAAGTCAGTTATTCAACGCTATGCGGTGCATCGCGGGAAACTCCTTTTCAGAGGAAACGCGACGTGCTATGTGGATAGAGCGCCTACCCGAAATGGTTCGAGCGTCCATTATTGCGCGTGAAGGTCCGATCGATGTTCTTATTGTGGTCGCAGACGCTGTAATGGAGACGCTCACCCAGCGCCAAATTTGTGGTGTGACGAAAGAGGTTTCATCCAACATACTGGAAAAAGATTCACAAGCAGCAATCACACAGCTAGCGAACACAATTCTCGAGTTACAGCAAAAAATCGACAACCTGAGCACACGGCAGCGTAGCCGTTCACGAATAAACTACAGACGTGCGCGTTCACGTAGTCGTCAAAACACTCTAAGGTCAAAGCCTACTGGCGGTAATGAGTGTTGGTACCACCAAACCTTTGGCGATGCTGCAACTCGCTGCCGTAGCCCATGCAGCCACCGACAACGCGACGTAGGCAACAGTGTTTCCAACCAGCACGATTGACTAGAAACGCCTCCCAGCGGTGCAGACTCCTGCAACTGCAGCGCTGGCATCAATCAACTTTTCATCACAGATCGTTCGTCTCGCTATAAGTACTTGGTCGACACTGGGGCCGACTTTAGCGTAATTCTAAAGAAAAGTAATTGTTCGGTCCTTCGTCCCATCTCTGTGACATTGTATGTCGCCAACGGCACATTGATAAACACCTATGGTATTGTGAGGCAGCATATTGACCTTGGCCTCCGTCGAAATTTTACGTGCAACTTTATGGTTGCAGACGTGAGTACTCCAATAATAGGCAGTGATTTTATTCGTCATCACGACTTAATTATTGATTTGAAACGCAATAAATTAATCGACAACAAGACAAGACTAGCAGCACCGTGCACCATTCACACTGCGCTCAATGTGCAGATCAAGACTTTCGATACCAATTGCACTTTCGCGAATCTCCTTGTAGAGTTCAAAGACATAACTGAGATGACGTCGGATCGCCGACCAGTCAAATCGGAAGCTTACCACGTTATCGAAACTAGTGGCCATCCGGTAACTGCACGAGCTCGTAAGCTTGGCCACGAGAAGCTGGCTGCAACGAAGTCGGAGTTTGAATACCTCATGAAGATAGGAGTGTGCCGCCCATCGGAAAGCAATTGGGCTAGCCCCCTACATATGGTCCGTAAAGCAGACGGGACTTGGAGGCCATGCGGTGACTACCGCGCCCTCAACAAAATCACGGTGCCGGACCGGTACCCCATTCCTTTTCTCCATGGCTGTATGACCATTCTTGGTGGAAAAACAGTTTTCGGCAAAATCGATCTGCAAAGGGCGTTCCACCAAGTCCCAGTAAGACCAGAAGACGTGAAAAAAACAGCCATCATAACATCTTTTGGCTTGTTTGAATGCACGCATATGACGTGCGGGTTACGAAATGCCGCGCAGACGTTCCAGCGCCTTATTCACGAAGCTCTGCGCGGGCTGGACTTCGTGTTTGCCTACGTTGATGACATATGTATTGCATCCGCAAACATGCAGGACCACACGGAGCATATACGTTTGGTATTTCAGCGACTTCGTGCGACTGGCCTGACAATTAACCCGTCCAAATGCGAATTTGGAAAAAGTCAGCTAAAATTCCTTGGTCACCTTATTACCAGCACATGAGTTCGCCCACTTCCGGAGAAGATAGAGGCGGTTCTGTGAATACCGCGCCCCAGAATCGCCAATGAATTAAAAAGCTTCTTAGCAACAATCAATTTCTATCGTAAAGTTTTACCTGGCGCCGCCAAACGTCAAGCAGCTTTGCAAAAACTAATACACGGCAACAAACGGAATGACAAGGCTGTTTTTGCATGGAATAATGAAGCAGTTGAAGGATTTGAAGAGTGCAAACGAAATTTGGCTAACGCCGCCACCTTGGCATATCCTCGTGTCGGCGCTCAACTTCAGTTAATCACTGTCGCTTCCGACATCGCATAACCCACAACCACTCGGTTATTTTTCACGCCGCCTTAACGAAACCGAAAAGCGGTACTCGGTATACGACAGAGAGTTGCTCGCCATATATCTTGCACTAAAGCACTTTCAGTACATGGTAGAAGGCAACCAAACTAGCATCTATACTGATCACAAGCCCCTTGTTTATGCCTTTAATAAACGCTGTGACAAAGGTTCTCCGCGGCAGATTAGGCAACTAGACTATATCAGCCAGTTTACAACGGACATCCGTCATATTCCAGGTTTAGAGAATCAAACTGCAGATATGTTATCGCGTATTAATTCAATAACTCCTATTAATTACCTCACTATGGCAACGCAGCAGCAATCGGATCATGACATACAATCTCTCGTAGATGGTAAGAGAAAGCACTCACTTCAAATTAAATATTTCAGGGTAGCAGACGCTGACGCTCAGTTGCTATGTGATGTTTCAACGAGAAGCATTAGACCCGTTGTACCGCATTCACTCCGTCACCAAGTTTTACACGCTGTTCACGATCTGGCGCACCCAGGTGCCAACGCGACACTCAAAATGATTTCGCAGCGATTTGTTTGGTTGAATATGCGAAAAGACTGTAAACCTGTCGTTCGAGCCTGCACCTGTTGCAATCGTAGCAAGGTCTTGCGACACAACAAATCACCACTACAGCGCCTGGGGTGCCTGGCCAACGCTTTCAAATTGTTCATGTGGACATTATCGGACCATTGGCACTGAATCATGGTTTTCCAAATTGTCTCACCTTTATCGATCGTTTTTCTAGGTGGCCCGAGGCGATACCTTTGCCTGACATACAAGCTGAAACCGTTTGCAGAGCATTCCTGAATGAGTGGGTTGGGCGCTATGGTTCTCCTCAGAAAATAGTGACCGACCAGGGGACTCAACTCGAGTCGAAAATGTTCAAAGAAATGCTGCAGACCCTAGGTACTCAGCGCGAACGCACTTCGCCATATCCCCCACAATGGGTTGATAGAAAGATGGCATCGATCCTTCAAAAACGCTGTTTTAGCTACCGGAAAGGACGACTGGGTTGACAATTTAGGTCTCACTCTACGGAATGCTGTGAAACAAGATCTAAATACATCCGCATCTGAAATGATGTTCGGCACTTCAACACGACTACCGGGTGAGTTTTTCACTACACAGCCTAGCGTGCAGCCAAGTTGCGTTTTTGTCGATAAATTGCGTATGCACTTACAAAAAATTCGCCCTGTCGAGACTTCATGGCACACGCTGGGTACTCCGTTCGTCAACAAAGACTTATTTTCGTCAACGTACGTTTACGTCCGAAACGATAGGGTAAAACCTTCCCAGACTGAGCCATAGGATGGCCCTCACAAGGTGGCAGCAAAAAACAACAAATATTTCAAAGTCTTAATAAAAGGCAGAACGGTCGTAATCTCTATCGACCGCCTCAAACCGTCTTACATAGTTGCAGATGAAGAAGTCACAAACACTCCACATCAAGCATCAGGCGCACATCGAGCATCACCAGCCATTATAACCGAACAAGTCGCTTTCTTCCAAGCAGATCGCAAAAAATCTAGGAAGGGGATTATGTGGCAATCACCACTTTGCATTTAGTTATAATCAATTTCCTATTTTTAAATGTATCGAAATATGTAATTATTGTTATCGATATCATTTTATTAGCTTAGTACAAAAGGTTGTTCATCACCAATTACTTAATGAAAGGAGTGTAAAGCAAGAGAACAAAAAGCAAATAAATTTTAATCGCTGTTCGTCACTCAACGGAAGAGTTTTATTTTTACCGCACTCTCAGACATCCAGGCCAAGTATATATTTACTGATAGGTAAAAGTTTCAATATGTTTGGAAAGCGCCACGTCCCTTTTCCAGTAGCCCCAAAATCTCTATACCGATTTCCAGGACACTACCACAAATACTTTCAAAGATATACGGTATGAAAAATTCGCTCCTTTAGTATATCGAAAGTCTGCAGTAGGTGTCCAAAATTTCAAAACATCGGTACAGCCGTTCGCGAGATCACCTCTTATAAAAAAAGAAGGAGCTTCTCTTTGTATGATTAGTGTAGGTAACACAGGGCAACTCCGATTTTGATGCGGCAAATTTTAAAGCTGTTCTTAATAGGTTTTTTTGTGCTGATGAAGAATCCGTAAGTATAAATCGATCGATTTTTGATCGTCGTGCTAGGCGGTCGTGTTAGAGAGTGCTCTGGTG